CAAAGGATACATAAATTGCAGATGTGCGGAGCCGCAAGGAGCGGACAGAAATTGCTTGGCAAATGCACAGCTGTTGCCAGCAAATCTACAAGCAATTCGAGTTTCAACTGAAATAACAATAACACACACATACACACACACACACACATACATATACAATATTGGGGCAACAACAGTTGTTGCTTCCGTTTCATGTCCTTGTTGTTGCTGCTGTTCTAGTTATCCTTGTTGCTGCCTGACTAGTTGTCCTTCCTTCGTTTGTTTGTAATTTGATGCGCGCTTTTAGTTAATTGTGGCATCAGGACATGATCATTTCGGGCTAAGCGCCATAACTAAGCCTCGGCCGCTAGTGCCGACTCTGTCGCACTTTTGGGACACTCAAAGGGGGTACAGTGCCGATCAGAAATATAGGTTTTTACTAAGAAATATCCATAGTAATACAGAAAATAACTGAAAGCGTATTTAAATTTTATTTTAATATTTTTAAATAGTCAAAAAAATTATTTTTAAATATTTTAAGATTTCCTCTACCTGTTTCTTCATATTCTTAAGGTAATAAAATTTAATATATAACATTTTTTAAGGCTAAAAAAAATTTTTAAAAATATTTCAAAAAATAATTCACATCAAATTTCAGTTTTTCAATTTTAAAACTCATTTTGCTTACTTTAAAAAAACTTAATGGCCATATATTTTCGAACGCACTGTATTTTCTTTGCTGTAACTTCTATGAATTGCCGGTCAAGTGACATTTTGTCGCAATTGCTGCTGCCAAAGTGGGTTGGCCACTCGTATTTCTCGGTTTTTGATCGCTTTGTTAGGGCTAGGCCAGGCCCAGAATGGAGGTTGGAGGCAAACTATACATGAAGGGTTTTAAATTTGCACTGCACTTGTCACTACACCCACTGCCCCGTGCCACCCAGCTGGGCATATTTTAGTTAATTAATTTTGTGGTCAAGTGCATGCAAATCGTCTGATATAGAGATCCCACAAATATATATACGCCTGACTTTGATTGGCAAGTGATTTCGAGCTGTCTGGGCGGTTTTTGTGTCGTCGTCTCATAAGGCAGGAATGCCATAGCCGCTCTCTCCTTGATTTAATTGCATTTGCTAGGCCTGGCTGAAAAGGTGAAATGAAGCCTATTAGACGAAGGCTTTTGCTGCTGGAATGTTTTTGTGTGGATATTTATGTGAATTTAAAACCGAAAACATTCTGCATTATTGCTAAGAACGAATTCACACACAACCAATCGAATATAATTGGAAATTGCGGTTGTCCTTTCATCTCAGATGAGATGGCCAAGACGATGCTGGCTGCAGCTGTTTTCTCAATGACACAAAATAATTCATCTTTTGGTTATTATTATCAATTATCAAACAGACGGCCACTTTTCAATCGGTAAGGTAAAATAATTGATGCCTTTTTGCTATCAAATAAAATTTTCAACTAACTAAGAAACAAATTAAGGAAAATAGAGAATAATTTAGCAATAAAATGTGGTTAATAAATGTCATGCAAACTATAATTTTCATAAATATTTCTAAAATTAATAAATTATTAGAATTTCTGAAAGCTAAAAACCGCTTTGTTAATGGAAAAGAAAACTTGCAACCCAATTAATTCATGAACATGGCCTGACTTCCGCTGAAAAGCCATAATGGCCTTGCCCAAATCAGGCTAAAATTTTCGAAACCACTTTTATTAACCCCTCCGATTTTCAGAAACTCTTAACCCCCTTACTCATTACTTATTGAAGGACTTTAACAGAAAGTTACAAAATTTACAATATTTTTTCATCGCAATTATGCTTGGCATATGCGCGGATTTCAACAAGTTTCTTTTTTTTTTCTGCCCCTTCAACAACCCCTGAAATTGGGGTTAAAAAATGTATATCGAAACAGGAGTTTCCACCCATCAGGTTTTTCATATGCAAAATGAATGGAGTGAAGAGTTTAATGGCAAGGCCAAAACCCACTTGACCAGTTGGACATCGTCCAGGAGAAGGCGGCACATTAGTCATCTTTTTGGCTAAACGATGGGATGCTGGATGCTGCCTCTGCCTTTTCCTTTCTTTTTATTGGTTTTCTCGAGTAGTAGAAGGTTGAGGATTGAGGATTCTTGGGTCCACTGATTAGCGTTTTGCATGCGAATTGCATAAATCACTTTGCTGCTCCAACGAGAAACGAGTGGAAAAGTGGTAAGGAAAAAAAAAAAGCGAGAGGAAAATCCGGGGGATATTCCGACGGCTGCAATTGCCATTTGGTCTGCGGCGACGTCGTTGACATTTTTATTGCCTGAGAAAATAGAATTTTTTCTTTATTTACTGGTTGGTTACCCGTTCGGGTTGCATTTTATTTTTATATTTATTTATTTTTTCAGCACGCTAAAAACAAGATTTAGCTGCATAAATTTGGTTTTTATCGCGACTAAATGGCCGCAAATGCTCAGCGGTTGATATGCTGAGCTAAATAAAATATATTCTCAATAAATAATACAAAAAAGGGTGGGCATTGGCTTTTTGTGGGCGTTGATTTTAAGGGCCAAGTCATAAAAGGCATGAATCAGGGTCTATAATAAAAGAAGAATAAAAAATGTGGCTTAAAAGGAGTTAAATTTAAAAAAGAGAGGAATGTGAAAAGGTTGTATTTCCTGTTAATTTATAGTCTTAAAAGCTAAAAGGTTGTACTTAAAAATCTTAAAAGCTTAAATATATGAAAGAAAAATGTTTGCTAAAGATAAAGTGTGCTGGCAATTACAAAAAAAATAATAAGGATAGTTATTTTCTAATTACGTAGGCAATAAAATATAAATATTTAATGGCTGGGCCGCCCTCAAGAAAACTCCGCTTTCTTTTCTTTCTCCCTCCATATCTTCTTGACTTCACTTTGACCCTGCTTCTTACTGGTAATATGCAACATAAAGTCGTAACTTAATTTACTGCTCGCAGAGGAAACTACTGTGAACGGGAAAAGCTAGAGCCAAGGCTAAAAGTGTAATAAGGAAAAGTCTTTTACTAATTGAGGGCAAAGAAGCGGCAGCAGCAGCAGCAGCAGCACAAATTATGAGCACGAAAAGAAAATAATAATTTTATTTTACAGCTTTTTTCTGTTTCATATTACGTTTTTTTTTGTTTCGTCTGCTATTTGCTTCTTAATAGCCGTCAAGATTCTTGGAAAGAAATAAAGCAAACGGCGCAAGGCAGGCGGGCACACACAGGGAAAAACCAAAGACGAACCCTTTTCTCAGGCTCCCCGAAATGTGCGCAAGCGTTGAGCTGTGAAAAGGCACAACAGCAACAGTGCAACAGCAACAACAACAGCAGCAGCAACAAGAAGTGGCAGCAACGGCGACGCGAGTCAGCCAAGTGAAGTGGCGTGTGGCGTCATCAGGTTGCAGATGCTGCTGCTGCTGGTGCTGCTGCTCCCTGGCTGGCTGAAAAAAATGCGTTCTACTTAATGTTGCATGCATTTATAGCAAATATTTCCCATGCCCCACGCCTTGGCCTGCCCACAATTGCTAATGATGCAGGAGCTGAGCAAGGAGCAGCATAAGGAGATGCACTGAGAGAAAAGAGATGTACAAAAATGTATATTAAACTTAAAGCTACAGAAAGATACATTTTAAAGATACAAAAACTCACTTTAAATATCTAAATTATCATGAAAGAGTATTAGCCTTTATAGTAGTACTTTCTTTAAGTGCTCTCCTCGCTGGGTGCAACATCTCTCATAGATCCCATTCCCAGCTGCTGTTGCACGCTGCCAGTGCAACTTAGTTGGCGCTCTTGTCATTAAGCTGCGCAGCATTTACAGTTCTTGCCCGCTGGCTCCACTGAGCCTTGGCTTGGCTTACTGCTTTTCGATTTAACTGCTGATAGCTTTTGAAGTTAGAGTAACTTACGTAGTGCACTTGGCGCACACTTATCTATCATTATCATCAGTAACACACAGATACACATACACACATATCGTGGCAACTTTTCTATTACGCTGCAAACTGCACTTATCGTCATCATCAGCAGCAGCAGAAGCAGAAACGGCAGCATCGGCAACAGCAGGCACAGCAGCAGCAGCAACATCTCCTGCACAGCAGCAACATCTCAACTTCGGATTCAAGTGCAGCAAGACGATGATGATGATGATGACGTTGCATCTGAGGAAGGAAGCTAGGAAGCACTGGGCCGGGTAACGTCCACTCTAATCACTATATGCATCAAAGCTTGATGGCATTAGTTGGACTGCTGGGAGCTGGAGCTGCCACCGCTGGATGGATGCCACTTGAGTTGTTGCCATCTCAGCTCTCAACTCTCAGCTCTCAGCTGACGACGACGATGACTGTTTGGCAGCTGTTGATTCTTGTTCTTGCGCAGCGGGACAGTGCGTTTCGTTGATGCAAGGCTAGATTCGTGGGTTTTTCTAGTTGGATGTTCATAGAGGGGCTAGGAAACTGTAGCAAAATATCGAAAGAAATTGGAAGTTAGAAACCATATCAAAGCCAACGCAGATTCCTTAAAGATTAACCACTTTAGTTTCTGATGAGCCATCTAACGGATATGGAGAATAAAATTCATTATTAAACTAATTTAGCCGTAGTTAAACCAAAACTGTTAATAAAGAAAGTTCCTTGTTTACTTATAATTAGATGGAGAAATTTTTCCATCAAGCAAAAAAGAAACTTGCCACAATGTTCTGAGGGGGCAAGGGGGCAAGGCACTGTATCTATCCATCTCGTCTGCCGTTGCCCTATCTACGAGTATTTCTCGGTTGCCCCCAGCCTGCGGCCTAATTTTGTATAATTTTTTTTTTGTGTTATGAATTTGCTGGAAAATTGCAATTTTATGTGCAATTTCTTGCGGCCCTCCTTCTTGCAACGCCCTCCTCTTTTGCCCAGCGCCCGCTGGCTTACATTTATTAGAATAATTTAATTGCTTATTAAATCATCTTTGCCTTCATGACTCTCATACTCATTTTTCCCTCTATTTTTGTTTTTCTTTCTAGGTGAGTTTGTTGTTGTTGATCTACTGCGCGCGGGCCTTTGGACTAATTAGTTTTGCTGTTGCTGTTGTTGCGGCTGCTTTGGCTGATGTTGCAACTGCAAACTGATATTGCTGATGCTGTTGCAGTAGTGGCCGGTGCAACTTTATTAACCGCTCGAGGTTTCAATCTGCGGCTGTCAAATTAAATGAAATTTACACTTTACCGTTAAATTGGCAGGTACGTTAGAAAATTGCCCAGCCAAGTCCATAAATTTTCCACCCAGGCCTTTTGTTTGTGTACATTTTAAAGTTGATGCGGGGCAAAAAAAAAAAAAAAAGAAATGGGAGAGCATTTCTCTTTTGCCCCACGGTGGTGGTGGCAGCAGCAGCATCCGATTTTGACACAATTTTGCAGTTGAGCGGCATAAAAAATAAATATAGTTATAGGGAGGAGGGATTGAGGGAGAGGAAGAGCAGGGCAGTAGGGTTTTTGGATTCCCCTTTGGGTCTATGTATTATGCATTTCTGCATTTCGTCATCCATCCACCCAGCCAGCTAGGCAGCTAGCCAGCCCTTATGCCACTGAAATTCCAGGCTGCATGCCTCAATGCACTTTGCACTGAAATAGAGAAATTCCACTATTTGGTTTCTATTGCTCTGCTTGTTTGTTACCCCTTTCATGCAACTGGTTTTTTGTGTGCATCGAAAATGCAAAATGCAAAAAGCAAAAAAAAAATAATGCTTACAGCAAATATAAACATGCAAAAAAGTTGAACAAACTTTCCTGGGTTTTCCCTCCCCTATTCTTTTTTTTATTATGTAGCCTTCAGGGCGGAGGTTTCAGTTCGTTCAACAGAAAATGAAGGAATACAACAAATAATGCAAGCGGTACGATTTTGTTGTTGTTGTTTTTGTTGTTGTTGCTGTGGCATAAAGAAAGCATAGAATGCAGCGTTGAGAGTCGCGTGGGATTAGTCGTTTTAGGGGATACACTTTCACTTCCAGGAACTTGCCAAAGCAGGAAGTTCATATACTAAAAGTTTAATTTAGATTTTAGTGTTTGTTTTTTTTGGGAGGTCGTAAAATTTAGGGGAGATTTTTAGAGGACTTACGGGATAATTAAGTATCGAATTCTATGGGATGTTAATGTGGACTTTGGTTTTTGTTTTTCTTTAGGCTTAAAAGATTAGGGATTACATTCCTCTAAACGTTTAGAAACATTTTTGGACTTAAAAGTGATTAAAGTTTTGAAAGTTTTCCTTCTTTATAATAATATTAATCCATCTTTGACTTTAGTTAGTAGTACTTCTTTAGACATCCATTTCCATCAATTCAACATACCCAACTTAATGCTAGAAAATCCTTTAAAAAACAGAACAACAAAAAGAAGTAGAAGAACCATGAAATGGAAACTGCAGTCCAAATATGAATCAAACCATGGCCCAGGCACGACCCAAAACCAAATGGGCCAGAAGACCAGAAACAGACCAAGAACAGAAGAGGAGGAGAAGGCTCGGTCTCTCACTCCCCCCGCACTTCCTGGGCTTTTGGCCAACTGGTCCAGAGATGTCTGTCTGCTGCGGCTGTTGCATTGTCTTGTGGCTTTGGCTGTTGCTGCAGTTGCACTTGGCGCTGCCTTTTTTTTTTCTGTTTTTGTACATATTTCGATTTTTTCCTTTTTACTTTTGCCGGCTGCCTTCTGACCAACGTCCAGGATGGCTGAATGTGTGTGTGTGTGTTCCCTATGTTCTGGCCATGTTTTGGTTAAAAAACATTTCAGCAGCATGCCTGTGTATATATGCATATTGCATTGTTGTTGTACAATAGTTGCAACATGCTCTTTACACATGTCCAGCTGACCTAATTCCACGAATATTTAAATTTTCATAAGGCCTGCAGAAAAAGAGGTTTATTAGTTTTTGTTATGATAAATTTAAATATTTTTTAGATGGGAAATTCACACAAATGCCATGCCAGTTAGAACCAATTAAGAGCTAGAGCCTCCTCTCCCTTCTCAATCAAAAATTGTTAGTTGCCCGCAAAAGTCCTAAATCAACAAGGCCATAATCCAGAATGTGACCCCGTTGAAAGGTCACCGAGAGAGTGTGTTGACAAAATCGAAATGTTTAAAGTATTTGTGTAAATATTGTTTGGCTGGAAATTTGATTTCCCAGCCTAATGCTAATTTTCATTCTAGTCGAAAAATCTGTAAATAAACAGAAAAACTTAACAATGCCAATTGTTGTTGTTTTTCCACAGTTTTCTATGGAAGTTTCCCTCCCAAGCAGAGGGAAAAAATCAACCACCATATATGTATAAGCTAGAAACATGTTTTCATTAGTCGAAAATTATTAAACCCCTCCCTTAGCCCGGGTTGCGATTTGATTTTCCATATTGTTCCGGACACGCTCGCTCCCTTTAGCCATCCATCTGTCCAGTCATCAATACTTGTCGCCCAAATCCTTTACACCATCAGCACCCCGGAGAAGGGAAGTTCATTTATTTTGTGTTTAACAGCATTTAGGGATTGGAATTTTCCACGCATTGTCTTATTTGCACACCCCCCTGAGATCTCACTGAGGGTTGCTAAATAATTTATTTCTTTTTGCTGCCCCTTAATGCCCTTCAAGTGTTCGCTGGAAAGCGTAAAGTCCTTTTTAGGCCTCCTGATTTGTCCCTGGATTAATTTGACCCTGAGCTGGAGTTTTTCTTTTGCTCCCTCTCTCTCTCTTTGGGATGTTTATTTTATTTGGGTTTCTTTCTCTCTTTCTTGTCTAGAAACTGACCACGCAAAACTTTTGGCCTTCAAAAAAATTGTTTTCAAAAATAATACGTAACCCCCTAACCATCCCCAAAAAAAAACTAGAGAGAAAAGAAAACGAAATCGGGGCGGCAAAACCCCAAAAAGCAATTTCTATGCACAGGCAAGAGCATAAAGTCAATTTACAGCACGAGTCCTGAAAAGAAAAACACACAGAAAAATAGAAATCAAAAAAAAAAATACCGAAAATCCGGGGCCAAAGTCAGGCTGCCAATAAATCCGTAACGAATCCTTTTGCCAACAGCGAGCGGCAAGAACAGGAAAGGATCTACGCTTCAGTGCATTTTTGATGGACGTATCCGAGCGTAGCATATTGATGGCAACTTTTGCGCATTTTACGGATATTGCACAATTTCTTTTTTTCTTCCTTATTTGGGTTTCACACACAAACGCAGAAAAAAAGAAGTACGAAAAAATGATTAATTATACAGGAAAAATGGGCGTGATTGAGGCGAATGTTGGGCGAGGACTTTTAATTGGCTTTTGAGTCATCGACTAATAAAGATTAATTGTTTTTTAAGAGCAAAAATGTTGACAATGCGGCTGGGAGAAGTGAAGGATAAAAAAGGCCTAAAAGGGAAGGAGAAGGGTACGGGTAAGGGTAAGGGTAAGAGAGAAAGCAGTAGAGTCTCGCCAGGGCAAAGGACACTCGGATGCGTCCAGGACATGCCAGTTTATCTATGTCAGCACAGTGGTACGCACTCAATTGGAAGATTAAATGCAAGCCAAACAGTCTGCTCGCGGTCTGGTTTGGCTGTGATCTCTTGAGTACAGTGCGTTATAGGGTTATAAGGATGAAGTTTGAAAAGGTTTTTCACTAATACATTATATGGTAAGATCAAGAAAAGGGTTGGATTTTTGCTAATTCCAAAAAAGTATCTTGGATTTGGAAGGTTCAATAAGTTTAGATTGTTATAAGTAATCACAGAAAAAGTTTCTGGATTTTTCTATGATTTAAACCACTTTCAAAAGTAGTTATAAACCAAAAGTACCTTATAGTTATGCCACGCACTGTATCCCTTTATTCTCCCTGTTTGGCACTTGCCAATGCCGCACTTTTTTCTGTCCATTTTACTCCAGACAATGTGTTATTGTGTTCCCCCCGCTACTCGATTTCGGTTGCATATGCGGTGGTGGCTACTGTGGACCGTCCATTGGCAGGTCGAACGGTTCAAATGGGCCGCTCAATGCTGCTGTTGCCGCTGCTGCTGCTGCTGTGGCTGCCTCATCCATTTTTGCGTATGAATTGCAAAACGCCGCACATATTTCACGTTATTGTTTGGTGGGGCACGGTCCTTCGTCTGTCTGTGGTGGCTGCCAGTTCTGGGTAAAGCAGGTAACCCATACTCCTGCTCCTTCTCCTCCTCCACCTATCCAAATGGCATTCCAAGTCGTGCCACACATTTGATATATGTTTTGGTGTCGAGCATGAGTTAACTGTGTCACAGGCATCGTAAATTTTCGCCACATTTTCCAAGGGTTCGATGAGAGGGGCGAGTTGGGGTATATGGAGACTGGGATGAGTAGTGCATTGAAATTGCTAGAAATAATCGTAAAATGATGAAGTCGTCTGTGGCAATATGAACATCAACTTGGGCAACGAAAATAAATGATTTGTGTTCGTTCTGAGTTTGCATTTTTGCGGGGTGGCGGTAGTAAATTATCATTCCTTCAGAGTTTTCTCTGAGAAGGGCAAATGTATCTCTAAATTAGTTAAGGGACTAATTAGGCGGCTGCAATTGCATTTTCAAGTGGCTGACAACAATGACAGGATATATAACTATATATATGTACATATTCGAGTGTGTTTGTGTGTGTACCTTCTACATGTCATGAAAAATGATACAGAAAACCCGGTTTGGCCGAAGGGGCAGCTGCCCCTTTTAGGATGGATGAATGCCTTCTGTCTGCCTTTTGGGCCCTTTTGTTTTATGCCGCCAATACGGATGGGCCTTTTGTCGTTCTGGCTCTCTTACGCTCCTTTTCGAGTATAATTTCGTTTAATATTGTTCACTTTAGTTGTGTAATTGTGCTGCGACGTTGTCAAATGACAACTCCACCTCCAGCGCTTCCTTCACTTTCGTTTTTCAATTTTTCATTTCAACCGAATTGTTGGTTATCCTCTTTTTTTCGCCCGTATTGTTCTTGCCAAAGAGATCAGTTTACAGGCTATATATATAGGGTCGCGTGGGTATCGGATACATACAGAGATATAGTCCTTGTTCTTTTGTACCTGCCAGAGATCGGCAGCTCTCAGTCATATAAGGTTTTTCGAGGTATAAAAGTGGCTTAAAGGGCAGCGCCACATTTTGACATGACATTCTCGGGTTTTTATCTGATCCAAGGCAGCAGTCAGTCGGTTGGAAAATTTCTTGCTCCTTCCTCTTGAAAACAATTCGTATATCATCATCGTATCG